CCCCCAAACCTCCCACCCCCATCATGAGAAAAATGCCTGACAGACCCCTAGGGAGGGGCGTACACAAAACTCCTGGCTTGTCAGCATTGCGAAGGCCAAGAAAGTACGAGAAGCTGCCCCAACCAGGAGGCGCCTCGGGAGGCGTGAGGACCCATTGTAAGGTTGTGTCCCGGACGAGACTGTGGGACAGAAAAAGGGCAGCAGGGAAGACAAAAGCCATCTGACTCAAGTGGAGACTTCAGGCAATGACAACGCGCCCAGACTGGCTCTTTGCCTTTGGCAAATGTCCTGCCCGCCTGTGTGACATGGGTACTCAGTGGCTGTCTAGACTAGGGCCGTGGATGGCAAAAGGACCACTTGGTGGCATACAAATTGAGCCTGGAGTGTGGGGAGCAGCAGTGCCCACCGTGGGTTCCTGAGCTGTGATGTGGTATAAGGATGGCAGAACCTGGGCGAGGGGTCACGGCGAAGATCTCACATGCACAATTCTTCTCATAATGAACAGGCAAGTGTGCTGAGCGCACACCAAGATCACGGCGGACCACACGCACGTGGTGGTGGCTTTTCTGATCTCCCACTATTGTTTCTGGTCCAGAAACCTCAGCATGCAGTATGCAGCAGCCCGCCCTTACCCTCACGTAATATGAGAAAATAACACCATGGGAGTAAAAACGTTCATGAGGCCACTCTTGCCTGTGGAGTCAATGTGCTCTATTCTGGGCGTTTCCCTAACATGGTGTCTAAATGTAGACGTTGGACTTCTTGTTAAACCTGGGATGGCTCATAACCAACCACTCTGAGGGAATGATGAGGCTCGGGGGACACCAGGTCGAGTGGCCCAGCCACTGTCCACAAAGGCAAGGCTCCATGTTCTCTCTGCGGAGCAGCGACAGGTCTACAAGCTTGGGAACAGCCATCTCAGGTGCAACTATTGGCCTCTGTGCCTCCTGAGCAAGAAGAGTGAAGGAATCAAAGGCTCAAGGGAATGATTTGTCTACAGGACTAATGGGCCACGTGAACCTTCAGCCTCCATGACTACAAGACCAGAGGACCTAGATGGTGCCCAGCTACCACAACCAGTCGCTCTGAAAGGAGCCCTAACAGAAAGGCCTAGAGAGAGTAGGAGGAAAATGTAGAACAAAACACAAAAGCATGGAAGTAGCCAGGATGACTGCCCTTATGAGTCTGGTGGAGCCCCCAAGACTATGGCCCTTAAATACCCTTCAAGTCTGGAATTGAACTCATCCCATAATTCCACTTTCAGCCAAACAACAGGCAGGCCGACAAGGTGAACAATGAGGGAGGGACACACTCCTTACAACAGTCAGCATCTGCCCAGGGAGAACACTCAGCAGGCAGGGCGGGAAAGGAAGGCGAAGGGAGGCAGCAAACCCATGTCCGAAATGGGAAGAGGGCGGCTACGTGCAGGGACTATCATCAGAGTCATGAATGCAAATATGCTCAAATTGTTGACTGGACAGCCAATTTGTTCTGTAAACTTTTCTCTAAATCACAATTAAAAAAATTTTTTTTAAATTAAAGAGCCCACAAAGCAAAGTGGGTGTATACTCCTTAAGCGACCTTGTACTATAATTCTTTACGGGGGCAGACAGCTTCATCCACCTCCCTCTGAGTGGCTGGTGGGTCTGAACTGCCAACCTTGTGGTTAGCAGCCCAGCACCTAGCCCACCGGGGTGCCTTAGGTACTTCTTCAAAGGATACCAAGCCAACTGAAGGAGCAATGGGGGACATGCCACACTAGTCATTGCTCGTCACAGGGGGGTGTGCATGTCCTTCCACATCAGGATTCACCAGCTTAGTGGTTTGGATTTGTTTCGTTTTTAATTCTAACAGTTTTATTGACATGAAATTCACATATTAAATAATTCAAAGGGTTAAACATACTTTAAAGGTTATGGGATTCGTGTTCTTTCATGAGTTATTCTGCACGTGGGTGCAGTGAATGGCCTGCCGTGTCCCTAAAACAAGAATGGAGTGATTTTCCGTTTCCTCCCACCACAAACCTCCGTGTTCACCCTTGTTGGAGAATTCCCTCCCTCGGGACAGAGCCCTCACTACAGAGCTGCGAGTACACTGGCACACTGGAAGCCTTATTCTGAAAACGAGCTGCATGCCTTCAACCTGGCCAAAGGCCAGGGAACTTAGCCTCACTCTGCCTTCACCTCTCCTGGACCAAGGCTGCGGTGGGTGGACACTGTGACATCACAGAGGCGGGGGCCAGGATTGTGACTGGCTCGTCAGCACCTCAGGGGGTAGACCTGGACATCCTTAGGAAGGGCTATTCCTCAATCTGAGGCCATACCTCTCAAAATGAAGGCTGTGGCCATCATCAGATGCCATGACTGTCTACTTGAAAATCGCAGTAAAACCGCCTTATGCAAAGCACTCATGCAGTCATTCAACCAATATCCGATATTCAGACTCCTCTTCTATAACTTATTTTCTGTATCAGTTATTTTGACAACTTAATAAAGTTTCTGATCATGAAACTTACATTCCACTGGAGACAATAAACAATATGTAGGAGGATGTGTGACGTGATGGACAGTCTAGGGAAAGGATGCTCGAGTGGCACACGCTTACATCTCAGATCTTAGGACCCCAAACAAAAAACAAACTGTAGGACAGGGCAGAACTGCCCCTGTGGGTTTCCCAGATTCATGGAAAGCCTCGACGGCCCTGGTGGGTGTTTGTGGAGCAGACTGAGCCCCGGGGAGTGATGGTGCTTAGAACGCCCCAGGGCAGCACTGCAAAGGGACTAGCATTTTCACAGCAGGGACAGCCAGTTGCAGCAGCTCTGAGGCAGCAGGCAGGTGTTGTCCAGAATTGAGACAGGAAGTGGACTGGGTGGGGGGGGGTGAGGAGGGAAGCTAGGGAGAAGGGGAATGGGAGTGACAGGGAATGGGCTTGGGTCCTAATTTGGATGGTCGTATTTGGAAGAGAGAAAAGAGGGGTGACAATCAGACTCCCCTGTATGATGATGACTCAGGCGTGCCAAGGTCAAGTGCTCAGTTCAAAGGCAGAAAATTTCCCCTTGGTGAAAAGCAAGCTCTGGGCTGGAAAGGAGGCCCAGGTGTGGGAGCAATGTGTTGGGGAGACCCCATCAGGCTTGCCAACACTCCCTGTGCTTCTCACAGAAAATCCAAACCAATGGCCACAGCATTTAAGTTCCACTGAAGAAGTCAGAAGGAGACTTGGGATGAGTGGAACAAGACAGGGAGGAGCCTGGGTAGTGCAGTGGGTTAAGTGCTCGGCTGCTAACCACAAGGCCGGCAATTCAAACCCACAGCTATTCTGAGAGACCGGTGAGCTTTCTGCTCCCAGGAAGATGTACCGCCGCAGAAGCCCACAGGGGCAGTTCTACTCTGCCAGGAGGGGACTACAAGTTGGCGTGGACTGGATGGCAGAGGGTTTAGGTGTGTGGTTAAGGCGGTTGGGGGCAAGAGGGCCCTTGCTCTGAGTCCGTCCACTCCAAGAATTTAGGGGTGCTTGAAGCTCTATGTTTGCCATCTGCTCTCAAATGCTTTGGAGAAAACACAGTAATAATGAGCACATACCTATAAAGAAAGACGTCCTGGTGGCGCTGTGAGTTAGGCATCAGGTTGGAGGTTCAAACCTACCCACTGCTTTGAGGGAGAGATGAGGCTGCTCTTGTAAAAATTCAGTCTCAGAAAGCCCAGGTCAGGTCCATGTGAGTCCAACTGCCTTTATGGCAGAGGCTTTGCTAACTAAAAGGTTCTGGTATGAACCCACCCACAGCTCCACGGGAGAAAAGACCTGAAGATGCGCTCCCATGAAGATGATGTCCATGGAAACCCAAGGGGCAATGTTCCTCTGTCGGACAGCACCAATGGCGTGGCACACAGCAAGGACATCCTGAGAGAAGTCCCTGCGTGGTACAAGCCACCGGGGTGCTTGGCTGCTAACTGGAAGGCTGTAGGCCCGTGTAGAATGCCTCTGAAGGCAGGCCTGGCTGTCAACATCTGCACGACCAGTCACTGAAATCACTATGGAGCACAGTGCGACTGGAGTCAACGCTGGGGGACCCAGCGTCTGAGCAGCAAGGGGGAAGGGACAGGCAAGGGGGAAGGGACAAAGGGGAAGTGGGTATGCGTTTTCAACATTGATTGACAGGCATTGTTCGGTAGCACGCTCCTGTTTTAACTCAGTGGGATGCTGGCACATTTCAGATGCGGCAAGAGGGTTTGGAAGTCTGGTAGAAGGCTCCGAGAGAGGGGAGCTAGTGGAGCACACATGATGCACTTGGAACTACCCCTCAGTCTTTGATTGTGTGCCCAGATGTGTCCAGTATGGGGGTTCCAGTGGGGAGGCAGCAGTGGTGCTGCTCCATGCAGTCACTCAGGGACACAGGCCAATCACACCTCTGCCACCTTGGCCACCTGGAGGGGGAGAGAGAGAAAGTGCAGGCTCCCCTATTTCCTAAGTGCCTTGACTGGGAAGTGACCCATTCCATGCATCCAACACCTCGTTGGTGAGCTAGTTACATGACCACTGTACCCTAGCCCCTGAAGATTCTGGGAAGTTAGGTCTCTGGCTGAGCTGTGGGGCGCTGCGGAAGGGAGTGTGACTCTGGGGACATCTGGGGCTTCCTCAGCGCAGGGTGGGGCAGGAGGCCGACTGAGTGGCTGGTAGAAGGCCAGCACCTACATGGTGGCCTGAGGCGGCCTTTCTAATGGTGAGAGTGTGAAGGTGGGGCTGAGGTGGGGCGGGGTGGAGTGCAAGGGCTGGGACAGGAGAAGCATGGATCCCCACGGTCTGACCTTGGCCGGTGACACGGTTGCCCCTGTGAAGCGTGGCACCACCTGAGGTGCCCCCTACATACCCATATAAGGACACGATCCTGGGCAGCACTGACAGGATCTGTGAGGTCAGGGCTCCTGTCACCTCACAATGCCCAGAGTCACCTCCAGTTTCTATAAGAGGCTGACAGCCAGCCCCCCAATCACAGCCCACAAAATTCCACCTGCTCACAGGTTGGCTGGCTCAACCAAGGTGGTGTCTGCTGCTCTGAGTATCCAGGCCACGTCCACCGAGCACCATGGCCAGGTACAGATGCTGCCGCAGCCGCAGCCGCAGCCGCAGCCGCTGCTGCCGCCGGAGGCAACGCAGGTGCCGGCGGAGGCGACGATGTAGGCGGAGGAGGAGGAGAGGTGAGGGTTTGGTGCTCCTGGGGGACAGGGTGGGAGGCTGAGGGGGTGGATGCTGAGGCCAGCTGCTCACCTCCTCCTGCCCCCAGCGTGCCGCCGCCGCCGATACTGTATGAGGCGTACTAGATGCAGAAAGTAGCTGAGTCCACCGAGACATCTGCCGGAGAGTTCTACCAGACTTCCAAGACCCTCTTGCCGCATCTGGAACGTGCCAGCATCCCACTGAGTTAAAACAGGAGCCTGCTACCGAACAATGCCACCTGTCAATAAATGTTGAAAACGCACACCCACCGCCTGGCTGCGTCTGTGCTGTGGGAGCAGTGCCTGGGAGTGGGGAGGTGCCTGGGGGCCTTGATGCTTACCTGAGTCTTAACAAACGACACATGTTGGAGGGAGCCCGCCCGCCCGACACCGTTCCCCAGTCCCCAACTTCACCCTGTGAAGGAGGAGACACATGGAGACCCCACCAGTGTTGCGATGCTTCCACTGCCACTGGATCTTCTACCCACTGGCTTGTGATCTGCCTGCCTTTGGCACCATTACATGTGCTGTGTGAGTCTAAAGAGGAATTTATGGACTAGTATCGGACATAGGGGCTAATTTCAGACTTATGGACTAGATCTGGGCTGGGCCGGGATGTCTTCGTGTGTGTGTGTGTGTGTGTGTGTGTAAGAAAGAGCTGCTCATGTGTGTGCATACCGCACCTGGGATTTGTTCCCCGACTACACCACCCGGCGCCCACTCTTGGTATTTCCATAAGCGAGCTGTTATATGTGTGTGTTACTTGACCCAAAAGTGATAAAATGATGCTTCCGAGCTCCCGGCAGGAGGTCTGATCTGTTTCCCTACTTTGCCACACTCATGGGGCGGATGGCTCACTAGAGGCAGCGTCATGCTCGCAGCAGTGGGCCAGTGACGCAAGGGAGACGGGCGGACACTGTAACCACAATGATGGCTTGCACACGTCAGTGGCTGTTGGGAGGACGGCGAGCGTTTGCTCTGTTGTCCACAAGGTCAACCCGAGCAAGAGTCCATCCACCCACTTGTCCACCTGTCTTTACCCCAACGGAAGGCAGTATGCCCACACCAGGGGAATCAGGGTACCACCTCTTTACAAGGTGCCTCAAGGAGCCCTCGTGGCACTGTGGATTAGGCAGGGGGCAGTTCAAATCCACCAGTCACTCTGGGAGAAAGATGGAGCTGTCCAGCTCCTGTAAAGAGTACCAGTCTCAGAAACTCCATGGCGGGTCACTCTGAGTTGGAACAGACTCCGTGGCAGTGGGATGTGGTTTTAGAGAAGGAGCCCCGGTGACAGTGGTCAAAAGCTCAGCTATTCCCTGAAAGGTCGGTGGTGTCTACTTCTGCAAGGACACGTTTGGAAAACCCAAAAGAACGCCCGATTTGTTTTAGAAGAAGTACAGGCAGAGTGCTCCTCAGAGACCAGGAGGGCAAGACCTCGTTGCAGGACGTGTTGTCAGGAGAGACCAGTCCCTAGGGAAGGACATCGGCTTGGCCAAGTGGAGGGGCCGTGAGAAAGAGGAAGGTGCGTGATAAGATGGACTGACACAGTGGTGCGGACGGTGCAGGACCGGGCGGTGTTGCCTTCTGCTGGGCATGTAGTCGAACTGACTCAGAGGCACCAAACATTAACAATGTGGGCAGGCGGACCTGCCCTGAAGGGTCCCTCGGAGCAGGAACGGATGTGAATGACAGCACCAGGCATGGGGTTGGGTTCATTAGGCCCTTAAGGAGCCCGGGCGGGGCAGCGATGAACGCCCACAATGGTGGGCAGCTGGAACTCCCCATTGGCTCCCCAGGAGAAAAATCCTCTTGACCTGTTCCTGTCAAGTTGAAGGAAGCCAAGGAAACCCTATGGACAGTTCTCTCCTGTCCTGTAAGACTGCCGTTTGTCTGGGTTGACTTGTGAACATAACCACACATTTACATCTTACAGTTTGAGGCCCAAGTCAAGGTGTTGCCCGGGCTGCCTTCCTTCTGAAGTCCCAGGAGGAATCTAGTGCCTGGCCTTTCCAGCTTCTGGAAGCCTGCCAAGTTCCTTGGCTCGTGGCACCTCCTCCATCTTCAATACCAGCAGCAGAGCACCTTCCAATCCCTCCCTCTTTCACTCACGAGGATGCCAGTGGTGGCACGGAGGCCACCTGGGTAACTCCAATTCCCTCCTGTCGCAAAACCCTCAGCTTACACAGAATCACAGCTGCAAAGTCTTTCTTCACGTAAGGTGGCGCATTCATAGGTTCTGGGGACAAGGACACTTATTTCAGGAGGGCATTGTCCTGGATCCCCCAGCCTTCTTGCCCTGCACAGTAGACATTGTTTTTTTCAGGTGTGATGCAAGATACTAAAGAGCCTGGGGGTATTGTGCGTTGTGTTGGGCTGCGTTATAACTACGAGGTCGGTGGTACAAACCCACCAGCTGCTCTGCAGGCAAACAATGAGAATGTCTGCTACCGTAAAAGTTTAGTCTCAGAAAGCCTATATTGATCGGGTCACAATAAGTCAGGATTGACTATTGGCTCAATGGCAGTGAATCTGGTTTGGTTTTATGATTGATTCTGGATTGAATGGGCTCATCAAAGAATGATGAGCGGCCCCATAGAAGGGTAGGTCGTTTTAGAGGGAAGAAGATGCCATGTTGGTCATGGAAGAGTCACCCGGGGCCGAGAAGGGACAGTTCAGGACATGGTGTTTGAAAGCACATGATCTGGTCTCAATCCCAGTTCTGCCCACCCGGAGCAGGGTGGTCCTGAGCCAGACTCGCAACCTCTGCTGGGCCTGTTCCCCCATAGAATGTAACGGACAGATGCACGGAAGGAGGCGAGTAGGTGTCGTGGTGTTAATTCCTGGTGGCCATGATAACCACCGGCCATCTGACTGTCACTGCTACTACTGCTCTCAGCAGTCGGTGTGTGCACAGACGCCTAGTACGAGGCACAGCCACTGTGGGGGGTACGGAGGCAGGGATGCTGCAGGAGTGAGCTGGTGGGCTCCCAGCAGCCAGGCAGGATGGGGTTTGAGGGTGGGGAAGCAAAACTGGGGCCCTTTCTCAGGGCCTGAGATCACCACCTGCCAGAAGGGGCTGGAGACAGGCTTTATGGACAAGGCCAGTGTGCCCCGGGCTGGGTCCCAGGTCCATTGGCCCTGGACCCTGTCATACCCCCTGTGCCATCACAAAGGGGGCTGGGTAGGGCGGGGACAGTGATGGGGCTACCGGGTCACAGTGGGGAACCCCTTTATATAGAAGCCAGCCGGGAGCTCTGCAAACCAGACCAACATTAACACCAAGAGCAGGTGGGCAGGCCTCAGCCCCCCTCTTCCTCCACGGCCAGCTGCAGCCTCCACCACCGAGTGGCCTGATTGCTGCCCAAGATGGTCCGATACCGCGTGAGGAGCCCCAGCGAGCATCCGCAGGAGGGCTGCAGGCAGCAGGGCTATGGGCAGCAAGGACACGAGGACGGTGAGCAGGAGCAGAGGCTGAGCCCTGAGCGTGTCCAGGACTATGGCCGGACTCACCGGGGTCGCTGCTGCCGGCGGCGCCGTAGACGCTGCTCTAGGCGCCGGCTGTACCGAATCCACAGGAGGCGGCGGCGGTCCTGTCGTCGGCGCCGCAGACGCTGCTGCCGGCGACGCAGGCATCGTAGAGGTGGGATGGCCCCGCTGCCCTACTGGGCCCCTCTCCCTACAGGTGTCCCTGGGAGGGAAAGGCCCAGGTTCCACCCCTCCTGGGCTCCCCGGCTGGCCCATGCGTTCCTTCACCCAGACCCCCTCTGCCCACAGGCTGCAGAAGGATGAGGAGGAGATGCAGAAGGTACAGAAGGTACTAGACCTTCCTGGGCCCGTCACCCCTGGCTAGGAGTTAACGCCACGACACCTGTGAAAGACCACCACACGCAGCCGTAACCACCCCCCACCCCCCCACTGGATGCTGAAGCCCTGAGTTGCCAAGGAGCTCACAAGATCTGAGCAGAATGCGCACAAGTCACCTGCCAAATAAAGCTTGACAAGGAACTATGCTTCTGGGCTCTGCTTGGTGCTCGCTTGCTCACTGGGTGGCTTGGGGGAAGTGCGAGGCATGGCCTGGGCTTGAGGGGTGGCAGGGCACTGCTTCAGAGCTGGAGGGACATGCTGGCCCCCTGGGTGACCCCACTCCACCCCCTAAGGATCTTCAGCCAGAGCCAGGTTTACACCTGAAGAACCTTACAAGCTCACCTCATTTCTGGGAGCAGGTGTCCTCCAAAGACCCTGTGTGCCCAGTAGTTTTAAAACACTGGGGGGGGGGGGTTGTTGCTACATGGGGAGTCATGGCGTGAGCTGTGGCAGACTCATGGCAGGCAGCAGAGACCACAGAGAACAATGGCCTTGTAGGGAGCAGGGCCTTGTAGAAGGCCAGCTCCCTGCCAGTCTGGCCTGCATCCCCACCTCGAGATCAAGAGCGTGGTTGAAAGCAAGGGAGCTATGGGGTTGCAGAGGCTGGGAACTGAGTCTCTAATCCCTCTCCCCAAACCACCTTTCCCCTGCATGGATCTGGTAAGGTGGGGAAAGGGACTGAGCCCTGAGAAGCAGGAGTCGGGGGTCATTACCAGCAAGAGCTCTCTGGACCTGCGATCCCTGCACAGTGAACCTCCTGGCTCCAGCTGACAGCAGCTATATCATCAGAGCAGCAGCAGCAGAACCAGGAGCCAGAGCACAACACACTGAGGGACTTAATGGGGAAGTTGGTCTTACTCATGGAAGTGGAACTGAATGCCTTCAGGTTTGAGGCGTACAGTGGAGTAGTAATGATAATGCCCCTTAGGGCATTTATTAGCAGACCTGAAACTTGTTAACGAGGACATGTGTCCTGGTTAATAAGATTAAGAAATAAATGTCTACTTTCTCTAATAGTTGGATGTCTTTTACTTTCCTAGTTTTGTGACGCATTGTGCATCCGTCAGATCACTCAGATCATTAAAACAAAGTCAGAGCAGGGGTGAAGCCCATTTCTGGTGCAGCTGGTATCACCCCCCACCTCACCCCCCTCTGCTTCTCCCTCAGAGACTCTTGTGAGTGGCAGGCCCTCTGGCTTACCCATTCCCACCCAGAAACCCCTCTACAAAGTCAGAAGCCTTTGTAACTGGGGCTTCGATGAGCCTTCAGAGATGCCACTGGTGCCCTGGGATGAAACTGGCAAGATCTGACCCCCAAACTCATATTCACTGCCTGTTCCAATTCACAGCGACCCAGCTTACATGATAGAAAACGGGTTGCTAGTACTCAGAAATGGTCAAATATCCCCCTTAAAGTTGTGGTCCCACCCCCATGGGAATATCCCACAGGCAGCTTGCAGAGATTATTTAAAGGGACTTGTGCCTACCCCTCCCCAATAGCTTAGGTACTGCTGCATCCCAACAGATGGCTGGAGAGGCCCCTAGTTGCCAGCCCCTGCATGAGCAGGGGTTTGGGGGTTCTGCACCACAAATCTTGGCGGGGGGCGGGTGTGTGATGCATTCTCTGGTAATACTTGGAGCAACCAGGTCTTCCAGGGCCCCAGCAGGCCCCCTTGCACCCCTCCTAAAGGTAGTTATTCTGACACCCCAATGGCCCTACCTGTCACAGGCTCTCCATAGCCCCTCTTCCCTCCCAGGCTCCCACCTCCCAGGAATCCTATCCCCAAAACTCATCCTAGCTAAAAAGAGGGCTTTGTGTGTTTTCTTGGGATTTCTTTTTAGAAAATGAGAAATTCATGCGACATATAATGAAGCATTGCAAGCATTCATGCAACATATAATGAAACATTGCAAGCAAGCATTTTAACCTATCAATTCTGTGGTGCCTGAGCACATTCACAGTGCCATGCCACAGTCACAAAGCTAGGGCTCTCCAACCTCCCTGCCCTACCCTCCAGCAGCCCCTTTGTGATGTCATTGCCCTGCCTGCCATCCTGGGGGCCCCACACCCTGTCCCACTACAGAGGCAGCCAACGCTAGCAATGGGTTCACGTTGCACCAAGCTCAGCACGGGCCATAGCCGGGGCCACGAATCTTCCATGAAGAAGCTCGTGGCCTGTGTGAGTCAGGACAACTTCTCTCTGTCATCAGAGGGTGAGGAGGAGGAGGAGGAAGAGGAGGAGGAGGAGGAAGAGGAGGAAGAGGAAGACGAGGTGGAGGAGGAGGAGGCAGCGACCCCAGTGCAGGGCAAGCTGCTGCTAATGGAGGCTGACCGGCAGGAGGAGGATGCCCAGGAAGCGCCCGTGATCCCTGGGAGCCCTGAGCCCAAGCTGGCTCACTCCTGACCCAGAAGCTGATCCTGAGCTGTCAGGACGGGGTGCCCACTGCTCCTGACCCAGAAGTCCACCCAGGAAGGGGAGCCCATTGCTGCTCCCACACCAAGCATGTTCAGAGAAGAATCAATAAAGAGTCTCCGAGGAATTGGCTTCCTCTGTGGTCCCCACCTGCCTCTTGGTCCAGTGCCAGTGCATGGATATGAGTGTGTGCGCGTGTGTGTGGAAGACCTAGGCCCTGAGACCTGCCAGCGGTAGAGGGTTGAAGGGCAGGTGTCAGTGGCCCTGCTGCTCAGTCAGCCTGAGGCTTTCACCAAGGCCACTCACCAGGGCTGGGGCTGGCAGGCAGGGGCCCTGGGCATCTGGGTTGGGCGGTCCTCTCAGCCAGTGCCTCCGTGCCCTTCACACCGTGGGCAGTCTCTTCTCACAGTGCTGTTGTAGGAGCTCAGCAGGCCTGGGTTCAAATCTCTCCTCCAGCTGTGCGAGTTGTGTGCCTCTGTCCCTGCCCCACAAGCCACCAGAGAACAGAAGGTTTGGAGGGACCACAATTAGCTGGTATCATTACTGGGGTCAGGAGGCCTGGCGCCACAGTGGGGTTACACATTGGGCTGCCAACCCCGAGGTCAGCCTTGTGAAACTAGCAGCCACTCCGCTGGAGGAAGATGCGGCTCTTTAGAGACCCGCAGGGGCAGCTCTACTCTACCCTCTGAGGTTGCCTTGAGTCAGAAGTGGCTATACGGCTGTGAGTTTGAGGAGCTCTTTTGGTGGTCTTAGTTACTAGGGTCATGGGGCTTGGGGGGGATATGTCTGATTCTTCCCTGCCGCCCTCAGACAGGCTACCCGCCCCGCCTGTCCGGTCCCCGTCCAGGAGGCCCACCGGGACTTTGTGGGAGGTCCAGTTCTAGACCGGCAACGTATCCCACAGTAGCTGTGCACTGAGCAAGCGAGCAACCGAGCCGAGAGGCAGCTGCAGGGAGATGTCTTCGATGACCAGCTCAGCGCTCGCCTGTGACAAGCTCCAACATGCCTGCCCCCTGCCCCACCCGTTCTTGCCCTGCACCGAGCCTCAACAAAAAAGACACGTGTCCTCTGCCCTGCTTTGTCCCTCAGCAGTCCCCAAGCATCCTCCATCTGGGCTCCTCACACGTGTTTCAAGTCTGAAACCCAAAGGTGAGGCCGCATCAGTGCCTGCAGAGGTCAGAGGAGGGGGTGGAGATGGTCTCTGTGGGATCAGCCAGGCTGGTCTCCCAATTCAGAAAACCACTTTGTCCTGAGCCCCAGGACTCAGGGAGGGCTGCCCAGGGGGTGGGCTGGGCCGTGCAGTTGAAGGCTGGCCTTTCACAGAAAGGGTGGGGAGAGGGGTCAGAGTCAGAAGGTCTTCATAGGTGGCCCACGCCTCTCTACAACCCACCCCACCCAGCCCCGCCCTGAGGCCCCACTGCTAGAATGGAACGGCCAGACCTCAGTGTGCACCCC